TGCACGAGTGGCTACGAAACAGCGCGGCTGCGTCTGCACTCTCCTTTCATGTCGTGCGCATGGTGAACAACAACTGGGAGATCGTCGTGGAGACGCCCGCCACCTGCCCTTTGCCACTTTTGACCGTGTCGAGGGCATGGAGAGGTTCGACTCATTTCCCAGGACGAGTCACCGGCGCACGTAGCCGAGGTGGAGGGGCAATGCGGAAGCTGCTCGCGGAATGTTGTGGAGTCCAAACACCGAGTCCTGCACACGTATCAATTGTCCTTCGTGGCACAGAGTCGACGTATGTCGTGGCCGTCTCATGTCCAGTTGTTCATCTGCCACGGGGCCCTATGCAGAGTTGGAATTGGACGGGAAACGAGGATGCGTTGCTCGAGGAACCGCAAGGAGTCGATGGGGATTGCTTCGACATCCAAGCAAGCTCCATGGGCTTCTGAGGTCCACGTTTGCTGGCTCTGCGAGTGGCAAAACCAGGACTTTCATCGTGACTTGTTGACCGTTGTTGTATGGCGGGCAGCAGTGTCCATCCATCGATGCGCATCGCTGCTGAAAAAAGACGTGAAACAGCCGTCTCCGCCGCCTTGGAACTCCTGTATTCCATTTGCGCATGGTTCCTGATGCCATTGCGTTCACGATAGATACCCTCTCGAGCGGCCGCTTCACAAGCAGGGTCGTTCGATCCGACTCGTGGTGTGCATTCACGCCGCTGGGGTGCTTCAAAGTCACCTCGTCCCGTCCTGATGAAGCAATGAACAACACTGTTCTTCGTATTTGCAAAGCTAGTCGCGACAATGCATCCCCCCACTTCGTCGTCCAACCTCCCGTTTTGGAATCTACGTTCGTCGCGGCTGCTGACTCAAGTTGTGTTGGGCAATCGATGCAAACGTTGCCAAGAATAGCCCCCGACGTGCTGCCGTTTTCTCGTGACCCTCGAGCCATTTCGAAACATGCAGATCCACGTTGTTTCTAAGCTTGACTTGTTCGCCATGCCTCGCCCAAAGACCCGAACCCTGCAGATGCCCCAAACCCCCCAGAATGCTGCTGGCGCCGTCCAGTTGGCGAAAGCGCTCAAGACGTTGCTCGGGTATCTCTGCACGATTCTGCTGGTTGTCGACGTGTGCGGCAACAACTGGGAGCTCATCGACTACGTCGGAGACGCCAAACACCTTCTTACGCCCCTCTTGACCGTCGCAGAGTTTGACCAGATCGGCCACGCGTTCGTTTTCCCGGTGGGCAACGCGCCGGACCACGTGTCGCAAGTTGGCCAGTTCATGATGAACACGTCCCTGGCGCAGATCCAGGCGCGCGACAGCGACACGTACATCCTCGGCACGACGATGCATCCCATCCAGGACAGCGTCAATGACATTTGCGGTCACCTCGTGAGCTCGTACCCACTTCCAAGCGCCAATGCGACGTCGGTGCGGCTGGGAAATGTCGCCGACGGCATTTCGTTTGTGCGGGGCACCGCACTCAGCCACTGGTTCAGCGACACACGTTCAGCTCCCCCCGCCGACCAGGGCATGAATGAAACGCAGCTGAGGGCGATGGGCTATGGGCCAGTTCGCCATGGCACGGACCTGCGCCTGACGACCCACGTTGCCGTCCCCCGTCCAGGCGAAATCGTCACGACGTCGATTTCAATGTATCGCTTCTTTATGAAGGCGTTTTGCTCGGGATGCGTGCCAGGCACGGAGCTCGGGCTAGACACGTGTGCGATTACGTATTTGTACAACGAAACAACACACTCCCTGGACGTCACGGCCAGCCAAGCCGCGGTCGGAAGCTCCCACGAGCTCGGGTTCATATTTCAACGGCGCGGGGGGCCGATACTCGCTCTGTACATCCGCTTCGCCATAGTGCTTCTCGTCTTTGGAGTGTACAGTGCCAGTCAGAAAACCGTGCAGTGGGTGGAGTTCGTGCCCGAGTCGTTGCCCCAGCGACTGCACAACGTCGTTGCGCCGCCGCTGTACAGACAGCCCTGTTCAGTGTTTGGGCTGAGTGATATTTGCTTCAACAGCGACATCTTTGTCGTGCTGTACACGCTGGCCGTGCTCGCAGACGAAGAGATCAGCTTGGTGTACTCGAGGGTGCTGTATCGGTGGTACCGATCGACTTCGTTTAATCTGTGGATCGAGCTGCGCCTCATGTCGATGACGATGCGATGGCTGTGGCTCAACTGCTTTCTCCTCAAAGCCGCCAAGTGGACGTGTGACTTTGCCAGCGTGGCGCAGTACACGGGGGAGAACCGTGTCATGGGGTGGCTCACCTTCAGCTCGGTCACATGGGTTTACCTCAGCGTGTTTGTGCTGTTTCAGCGAGCCAATTTCATCGAGTACAGCAACTCGGTTCTCATAGATCTCTCGTGTGCCACGCAGAACCTGGACGCGGTCTCCGTGGCATTCCTCGATAGCTGGTACGTGCGGTCGATGCCGGACCTGGTCGTCGTTGTCCTCGTCAACTTGATCGTGCTTTTGGCGATCGATCGCGTCGTGAATTGGCAGTGGTGGCGGGCTACCGCCAAGAACTCGCTGTGTCGCCAGCTCATGTTTAACTCGACGTCGATTCTCGCCGACGTTCGTGGCGACGCGATCGACCAGCCTGGCTACGCTGGCTCGTGTTTGGTCATCAAGGCGCGCGCGCTGTGCACGTTCCGCTGGTTCTTTTCAACCCACCTGACTGCATTTGGACTCAAGGAACACCCGGCGATTCTGCGCGCCATCCACTCTGCAAGGCCACACAAAACGGATCCAGGATCGTCCAGCGCCGACGTCACAGCCGACACGGCGCCCATGCCGTCCGAGAGGACAACGCACACCTCGGTCGCGTGGCTTTCCGATCACGACGTCGTGAAACCTGTGCCGCCGACCGATGCTGCAACCCTCTACTTGATCGTGCAGGACCGAGACGGGCATATTCACGTCGTAGACGGAACCAAGCGGGAAATGCAAGAGCTAAACGTTGAGGTCAAGATTCTACGGGACACCACCATCGTATTGGGATAACAGAGAGCCTTCCGCTGCGTGAGACGAGTTGGTTAAGCTCCAGGTAGTCTTGGCACGGAGCGTCGGTAGAGTCTAGGTGAAAGCGAGCCAGCGGCGGCGGTGGAATGCCTTCGTCCCCACAAGCTATTGCTAAGGGTCGCATCCACACGAGATGGAAACGTCGAGCGCATGACGATGTTTTTGACTCGTTTCGAGTGCTGGATGGCGCTGCGAGATGCAGAGGAAAGCAGATGCCCAAGTGAGCCCGCCATACGAACGTGCGTCCGGGCGCCTTCGAGCTGTGGCAGTATTTGCCGCTGCACAACGAGTGTGCCGTCCCCATCCCTGGGATGCAACGTGCCAGAACCTTTCGTCTGAAGACCGCGCGGATGGAGAGCATGTCGGTATAGCACGCACCCCTCCCTGGACACTTTGTCGTCTCCAGCAACAGTTATGCAAAACGTGCGCAAGACACTTCACGCGAACGAAACGAACGTAGATACTGACGGCATCGCATGCTCTCGTTATCCAAGTGGCTGGAATGCACGCGGTCTACCGTGCGCACGACCAGCAGAATATCATCGAAGGCAAAACGTTGTATCGCGCAAGATCTTGACTTCGACGCTGAGCGCCTGCAGCTCCTTCATGTGGTCGTTGAGCAAGTGGATGCTGCCTGCGCGATCCTGGACGAGGATGCAGTGGTCGTTCTGCCGCGCATCCTCTTCGGGTGCGACGGACACCTCGTCGCGTACGCAGTCCGTCGGTGGATCGACCAGTTGCCGCGGAGTCCTCTTGGTCAATTGGTGCACAAGTCGATGCGTCGTCCCGCTGTTGCGGGATGGTTCGCCTTGCCGTCCTTTGGAAAAATGTCTCAAGGCACTGGGGTGTTCGACCAGGCCAAACCGCGTCAAGTGGCTCGACAGAAACCAGCGAAACGTGCACAGCGCCCGCGCCTTGATCGTGATGTAGAAGACTCTCGCGCCGTCCGTCGGGCGGACGACAACTGTCCAGTCCCCATTGATGCCGGCAAGAATCGACGTCGAGTTGAACATGAGCTGGCGACCGACCGAGTTGAGGGCAAACGACTGCCACCAGCTTCGATTCACGACGTGGTCCATGCACAAGAACACTGCCAAGTTGACCAACATGGCGGCCGCAAGCGCGGGAATCGTGCGAATGTACCAGCTATCCAAGAACTGGACAAACGTCGAGTCGAGGTTCTGCGTCGTCGAGTGGAGGTCGACCCGGTCCGAGTTGCTGAGCTCGACAATGTCGTTGCGCTGGAACAACACAAACACCCCGAGGTAAATCCACGTCGACGAGCTAAAGTTGAGCCACCCGACGACCCGGTTGTCGCCCGTAAACCGTGTCATGCTGACAAAATGACAGGTCCACTTGGCGGCCTTGAGGACAAAGCAGTGCAGCCACAGCCACCGCAGACTCATCGAGAGCAACCGAATCTCGATGAACATGTCGTCCGTGTTATGGTGCCACGTGTGCATCTCGCACGAAAACAGCATCGCGATCTCTTCGTCCAAGAGAACCGTCAGCGTGTACAACACGACAAACACGTCGCTGTTGAAGCAAATGTCGCTCAAGTCCAAGACAGAGCACGGTTGGCGGTACAGCGGGGGCGCGACAATCCCTACGACGCGCCGGAGTGCACTCTGCTGCAGCGCCATGTCTGTCCACTGCACGGTCTTCTGGCTAGCTCCATACACGCCAAGCAGGAGCACCACCACCACGAAGCGCACGTACAATGCGACGACAGGGCCTTGTCGCCGCGGAAAGATGCCTCCGAGTTCGTGGTATTGCCCAAGAATTGCGTGGCTTGCCGTGACGTGGACAGCGTGCGCTGCATCGTTGTACGAATACTCGATCCTGCACGCGTCCAGCCCGAGCTCCGTGAACGGTTCGCATCCCGAGCACAGAGCCTTGACGAAGAAGCGGTACATGGAGACCGTCGTGGTCGACGCTTGATGGGGTGGCGGGATCGAGAGCGGTGTCGTCAGCCGAAGGTCCGTGCCGTGGCGCGCGGGGGTGTACCCCCGCGCTCGCAACTGGGTCTCGTTCATGCCGACGGCGGCATTCGCCGTCGCTGCCATGTCGCGGAACCCGTGGCTGAGTCCGTTGCCACCGACAAAGGTGATGCTGTCGACAACGCTGCCAAGCCGCACCGACGTCGCATTTGGGTCTGCGATCGGGTACACTTGGACGAGGCGCCCGCAAATGTCGTTGGCGTGGTTGTCGATGCGGTGGAAGCCCATCCCAAGGATGAATGTGCGGCTGTCCCTGGCTTGAATCTGGGCCAGCGACACGTTGAGCATGAACTGCCCCACAGTCGACACGCGGCCGGGCGATGCGTCGTCTGGAAAGATGAATTGCGTCGCCATGTCGTCGGGCCGTTGGATTGTCAAGAGCGGCGTGAGAAGGTGCTTGGCGTCGCCGATAAAGTCGATGACCTCCCAGTTGTTGGTCGCGACATCCACGCACAGCAGCGCGACACAAAACACCCCGAGCGCATACCGACCCCACGTGGCAACGTGGTGGCGGAGCGATGCCCAGCTCGTTGGTCCATGCAAGCTCGCGCGCCGTTGGCCCAACGGCTGGACATGTACCTGCGTCATGTGCTGTGTGCTGCGATAGCAGAAACCGCCACGAAACGACTCCGTTTTTGTCGTCGCCACCAACCACTCGGAACGCCGCCGAGGCCAAGCACACAAATTTGCACGTCGAACGGGGTCTGGATGATGCGATGGGGGAGATGGGCTTGATCGGGGAGGAGGGACGTGCGTTTCCATGCCCTCCAAAGAAACTAACCACACAGATGATGATGCTCCTCGTTCCAAACCTCGACCTGCCGTGCCTGTGAACGGCGTAACCTCGCCAGTGCGATGGATTTGCCCATTGTGGACACGGCATCGCTGCGTCATGCACGACGGGATGGTTGAACGAGATGTTTTCGTGAATCGCAAGCCACGACAGACCACGCGCAGGTGGTCCGTTCGTTAGACGATTGCCTCCACATCGTAGAGCGAACCGCTGCGAAGGGGTGTCCCTTCCACCGACTCGGCCGAGTTTGTATGTTCCTTGCGCTGCGATGAGCGCCATCAACGATGCTGGAACGAAACATGAAGGACAACGTGATCCATCCTCACGGCAATGTGCCTGTTTCATTGTGTCGATGGACACCGCGAATGGCCTGGTGCGCTGTGCATGTGAGAATCTTGCATTCTTTGTGCTCGCGGCAGTGGTGGCCACATAGAATGCCGCGCAAGGGGCTGACAGGTTCTGGTTTCGATCGTGGACGGCATGGAGGCAGCTCTACGATGAACGCCTCGTGATGACAAACGCCATGCTTTGGGGTAGGTCCTGTGCCGTTGCCACGTGCACTGGTGGTGAATGTACATCTTGTGCACGAGAAAGAACTGTCTGTTCACATTGATGCGAAGAAGGAAAGCATGGATTCAGGTATTACCATAGTGACGACGTCGGGAGGGGCAGTCGTCGCTGACAAGCCTAGGCGAGATCGTCGTCGTCAAAGTCATCTTGGAACGCGTTGAAGAATGTGGTGTGCACAACCATGTCCGATCGGACCACGGGGACGGCTGGTTGAAACCCATCCATGTCGTCGGCTTCACCTTCCATTTGGATCCCCATCTCTTCGTTCCCCGACAGGATCTTGCGCAGTCCTCCTTTCGTGTGCGGCGGTGAGTCCATCGCGTCCACGACGGGCAAACAATCCCAATGGAGAAACTACCAGAACAAGAATTTTTGACAAATTTTTCATCAAAATGCTGTTTGTGTGTTTTTGTTCAGCATTTCGACAGACTTGCCATAAGGACACATGGTGCAAGAGATCGTCGGTTCGATCCCCCCCATCGTCACTATTTTTTCGTCAACTAGACGGTGTTCCGCACTACAGTAAACTCGCGCGATGGACGTTAGTGAGGCTATCACGGGAGGAGATTCTTGGCGAAGACATTGGTTTCGGTGTGCAGGAAGGGGGTCATCGTGAGGGGGCGCAGCGTCAATCGTCCGCACCTGGTGTGGCCCTTGCACAAGTTTCTGCCTCATCGAGACACTTCCACATGGGGGGAGACGCCTGTCGGGATGGCCTCTGGCGCTAGAAACGAACCGTCGTGTCCCGTCTCAATGGACAAGTTCCTTTCCAAATCACGATGGTCGAAATGCCGACACTCCCCTCGCTTCATGGCCGCTCTTTTCTCTGGCACGCCCTGCCATCCGAAAGAGGTTCAGCCCCTTCAAGACTCAAGTACTTCGTTGTTTTGCATGCAGTGCTGCTGCATCGTCGAGCGCGGTGGGGAAGCGCATGCTGTGGTGGCCATGGAAACGAACCGGCGTGGCCCGTTTCAATTGACGTGGTCAGTTCCACAGTTGCAACGGACGAAACGCTGAAACTCCCCCTCGATCGGCCCTCACCGAGAGCCAATTTGCATTCCAGGGCGCATGATTCACGTCGTGTCGAAGGACAATATCGCGAGGGCCCCACGCATGACAGTGGAGGGCTGGTCCAGTGCAATCCCCTCAAATACGCAAAAGTTCAGGGTCATTCGATGGGCGAAGTCGGGGGCGAAGAAGGTCCTGAGTTACATGTGCATCCTCCTGCTCGTCGTCGATGTGATCAGCAACAACTGGGAAGTCATCGACTACATCGCCAACGCCAAGCACCTGCTCACGCCCCTCCTCGACGTGAACTCTCCGACCGACATGCTAGCCCAGTACTCGTTCCCAGAGATGGCGTCCCCGCTGCGGGCGTCCAAAGTCGGGCGGTTCATGATCAATTCGTCGTTTGCGAGCATTCAAGCGCGCGACAGCTCCACCTTCATGCTAGGGACAACAACCCACGACATTGTTGGCAAAGCCAACGACATCTGCGGCCAACTCGTCGACAAGTACCCCGTTACGGACCTGAACGCGACCACGATGCAGCTCGGCAGTGTCGTCGACAGCATCACGTTTATTCGGGGAAATGTTCTCAGCCATTGGTTTGGCGACTCGAAGACGGCCCCGAGGGCCATGACCTCCATGAACGAGACCCAGTTGCGGGCAATGGGCTACGCCCCTGGCAGACTCAGCACGGACCTTCGGCTGACCACTCCCGTCGCGATTCCCCCGCCGGGTCAAAACACTACCGCCAGCATCTCCATGTATCGGTACTTTATGAAGGGGTTTTGCTCGGGGTGCGTGCCTGGTACGGAGCTCGGCCTCGACACTTGTGTGATCGAGTATTCCTTGAACGCCGAGACCAAGTCCCTCGACGTCTATTCAAGCAAGGCCATCATGGGTGGGACCCACGAGCTGGGCTTTATCTTCTTACGACGAGGGGGCCCGATCCTCGCGCTCTACACGCGCTTTTTCACGCTGTTGCTTCTCTTTGGCGTGTATGCCGCGAGCCAAAAGACTGTGCAGTGGGTCGACTTTGTCCAGCAAACCGTGCCCCAACGCCTGGTTCGACTGATTGCCCCGCCACTGTACCGACAGCCGTGCTCGATCCTCGGGCTGAGCGACATTTGCTTCAACAGCGACGTTTTCGTTGTGCTGTACTCCCTCGCCGTTCTCGGGGACGAAGAGATCAGCATGGTGTACTCGAGAGTGCTGAATCGATGGTACGTCAACAGTTCGTTCAATCTGTGGATCGAGCTGCGCCTCATGTCGATGACGGTGCGGTGGCTGTGGCTCAACTGCTTTCTCCTCAAACTCGCCAAGTGGATCTGCCATTTCGTGAGCATGGCGCAGTACACGGGCGCGAACCGCGTCATGGGATGGCTCAACTTTAGCTCGGTCTCGTGGATGTACCTGAGCGTGTGTGTTTTGTTTGAACGGAATGACTTTATCGAGTTTGGCAACTCGGTCAATGTGGACCTGCACTCGACGACCCAAAACTTGGACGCGACCTATGTCTTGTTGTTCGAGAGCTGGTACGTGCGCGGCCTTCCGGCGCTTGCTGTCATGGTCGTTGGCAACCTGGCGGTGCTGCTGGCGGTCGACCACGTTGTGAATCGAAAATGGTGGGTTGCCATGGCGCACAACTCGCTCGGCCGACAGCTCATCTACAACTCGACGTCGATCTTGGCGGACTTTCGCGGGACAGTGTTTGAAAAGCCTGGGTACGCCGGGACGTGCGTCAAGATGAAGATTCGCGCGTGGTGTACGCTCCGATGGTTCCTCTCGAGCCATTTGACGTGCCTCGGCCTGGCGGAACAGCCCAGCGTCATGCGGGCCATGCGAGGGACGGCGACCGCAACTACGCACAAGTCCAAGTCGCCAAAACGCCACGGAAGAGATGACATGTCGTCGACGGACGACACGGACGAATCCCACCACGTCAAACCGATCCCGGCCGTGCATCCACACGACGAAGAAGACGACGACGGGACGTCGCAATGCGAGACTACACCCACGAGCATGGAACTCCACGTCGTCGTGCAAGACAGGGAAGGCCATATACATGTGATCGACGGCGAGAAGCGCGAGATGCAGGCGCTAGCCGTCGAGGTCAAAATCCTTCGCGATGTATACCTCAATTTGGGGTGACAAGCACGCCCCTTCGAGGTCCATGGATGTTTCGTGAATGTATTGTTTAGTACACCAGGAGCTCGCCTCCCAAATCGCGCCAGCATCATCTCACTTGATTCTCGCTTGAGAGGACGTTGGAGGGACGGGCCTGTTTGGACGAGATTCAAATTGTGGCTGGGGTGGCTCTCGACGATGCCGCCCCCCCCCTCCGAGCATGACCTCTTCGACGAGCAAACGCCCCGTATGGACTAGAATATTGTTCTTGACAGAGTTACAGGAGGTGGGTTGGCATTAACACGCTGGATGAGGCAACTACACTTCGACAACGGCGCCGTCGAGGCTGTTCAGATGCTTGGCTTCGTTTTCGGCATCTTCTTCCACGTTGGCTTCCTGGCGTTTGTCTTGGTCCGCTGCAGTTTCAACTGCGGCGGCAGCCTTGGGCACCTTGGCGGTGGCAATCGCAACCGCCGCGACAGCCAGGACCAGCGCGAACCCCGACGCGCCGTAGACGAGCGGCGCCGACACATCCTGCGCACTACCGCCGACACTCGACGACGCAGCCACGGCAGAGGACCGAACGTTTGATTCGGCCTCGTCATGTTCGTGTTTCTTGGCAGAGTCGCGAGACCACACGCACCCGCGAATGTCTACGCCGCCGGCGGTGCGAATTACCTGGCACGTCGAGTTCCAAGGGGCGACGCACGAATCGTTCTGGAACGACGCCAAGTGCTTGCGACAGTCGCCCCATGCGATTGCTCCCGCCTGGGGGCAAGCTGATCCAATGTCTCCGCACGGAATGTCTTCCACACAGTACGTCGCGTCTCCTACAACGCTGACTTGGTTCGTGCACGTC